CTGAGAATTTCATAGAGATGTTACTAGACATGGTTAACCAAAACATACAAGAGGCACTCAAAAAATTCCAAGATGACTGAAATAAAAAATATGAGGAGACACAAAAACAAATAAATGAACACATAGGAGCCCTAAATAAATACAAAAGTGAAACAGAGAAAACCATAAATATAGAGATCAATGAATTAAGGATGAAAATTGACAATATTAAGAGGAAGTGACCCATGATCTGGAAAACCTCAGAAAAAAGAATGAAACAGAAATACAAAACACATTGGAAGGCCACTACAGTAGACTAGAGCAACCAGAAGACAGAATCTCAGAACTTGAAGATGAAACAGAAATTGAAGGAAAAACTGAAGAGCAATTAGTCAAGCAACTCAAGACTTATGAAAGAAATATGCAAGAACTCACTGACTCCATCAAAAGACCAAACCTGAGAATCATGGGCATTGAAGAAGGAGAAGAGGTGTGAGCAAAAGGAAGTTGTAATATATTTAACAAAATAATAACAGAAAATTTCCCAAATCTAGAGAAAACTATGCCCATTCAGGTACAGGAAGCCTCCAGGATACCAAAAAGACTTGACCAAATTGAACTATCCCATGCCATATTATCATTAAAACAACAAGCACAGAGAATAGAGAAAGAATATTGAAGGCTGTCAGAGAGAAAAAACAAATAACATACAAAGGTAAACCCATCAAAATCACAACAGACTTCTCAACAGAAATATTAAAAGCAAGAAGAGCTTGGGGTGAGGTCTTCTGGGCACTGAATGAAAATAACTTCAACACTAGGATACTCTACCCAGCAAAAGTATCATTCAAAATAGATGGAGCAATAAAAGCCTTCCATGATAAGCAGAAACTAAAACAAATATATGACCACCAAGTCACTACTACAAAAGATTCTTCAAGGAATTCTGCACACAGAAAATGAAGCAAACAAAGCTATGAAAGGACAGGCAGTAAAAAAACCACAGGAGAAGAAAGGGCAAGAAAGTAGAGAGTAACATTAGCTACACACAATCAAACTCTTAAACAACAATAACAAAAATAAACGACAAGATTCACCACATAACTATCAATACTAACACTGGATGTTAATGGATTTAATTCCACCATCAAAAGACACAGTTTGGCAAACAGGATTAAAAAGGAAGATCCAACAATCTTGCTTACAGGAAACCCATCTCATCGAAAGAAACAAGCACTGGCTTAGGGTGAAAGGCTGGATGATTTACCAAGCCAATGGCCCCCCAAAACAGGCAGAGTAGCAATACTTATCTCTGACAAAGTAGACTTAAAACTTACATTGATCAAATGAGATAAAGGAGGACCCTCCATACTAATACAAGGTGAAATACACCAAAAGGAAATAACAATTATCAACCTATATGCACCCAATGTCAATGCACCCAATTTCATCAAACTTACTCTGAAGGACCTAAAAACACATGTAGACTCCAACACAGTGGTAGTGGGAGACTTTAATAACCCCTTATAAGCAATAGATAGGTCATCCAAACAAAAAAATCAATAAGGAAATTCTAGAACTAAATCACACCATAGATCAAATGGACCTAGCTGATGTCTGCAGAATATTTCATCCAACTGCTGCACAATATTCTTCTCAGCAGCCAATGGAACCTTCACCAAAATTGATCATATCTTAGGGCACAAAGCAAGCCTCAGCAAATATAAGAAAATAGAAATGATCCCATATATTCTATCTGATCACAATGCATTAAAACTAGAACTCAAAAACAAAAACAACAGTAAAAAACATGCAAACAATTGGAAGCTGAACAACACATTGCTCAATGATCAGTGGGTCATTGATGAAATAAAAGAGGAAAATAAAAGTTTCCTGGAAGTTAATGAAAATGAAAACATGACCTACCCCAATTTATGGGACACAGCAAAGACAGTCCTGAGAGGTAAGTTTATAGCCATGAGTACATATATTAAAAGGACAGAAAGATCTCAAATCAATGACTTAATGCTTCAGCTCAAACTCCTAGATAAACAAGAACAAGCAAATCAAAAAACAAGCAGAAGGAGAGAAATAATAAAAATAAGGACTGAAACCAGTGAAATGGAAACAAAAAATTACAAAGAATCAATGAAAAAAAAAGCTGGTTCTTTGAAAGAATAAATAAGATTGGCAGACCCCTGGCAAACCTGACTAAAATGAGGAGAGAAAAAACTCAAATCAGTAAAATCAGAAATGCAAAAGGGGAGGTAACAGCAAACACCATGGAGATCCAGAAACTCATCAGAGACTACTTTGAGAATGTATGTTCTAATAAATTTGAAATTTTGAAGAAATGGACAGATTTCTAGGTACTTTTGACCATCCAAAATTAAACCGAGTGTATTAATCACCTGAATATACCTATAACACAAAATGATATTAAAGCAGTAATAAAGAGTCCGCCAAAAAAGAAAAGTTCAGGACCTGATGGATTCTCTGCTGAATTCTAGCAAACCTTTAAAGAAGAACTAATACCAACTCTCCTTAAACTGTTCCATGGTATAGAAATGGAAGGAACACTGCCTAACTCATGTTAAGAAGCCAGTATTACACTCATAGACACCTCTAAAAAGGAGAACTATAGGCCAATCTCCTTAATGAACAGCGACACAAAATACTCAATAAAATAATTGCAAACCAAATTCAACAACACATCAGAAAGATCATTAACCATGACCAAATTGGCTTTATCCCAGGGATGCAGGGGTAGTTCAACATACATAAATCTATGAATGTAATACAGCACATTAATAGAAGCAAAGAAAAAAACCACTTGATCATCTTAATAGATGCTGAAAAAGCCTTCGATAAGATCCAACACTGCTTCATGATAAAAGCTCTAAGAAAACTAGGAATAGAAGGAAAGTACCTCAACATTGTAAAGCTATGTATGACAAACCTATAGCCAACATCGTACTTAATGGTGAAAAACTGAAACATTTCCCCTAAAATCAGGAATGAGACAAGCTTGCCCACTATCTCCACTCCTATTCAATATAGTACTGGAATCCCTAGACAGAGCAATTAGACAACAAGAAGAAATATAAGGAATATGAATAGGTAAAGAAACTGTCAAAATATCCCTATTTGCAGACGATATGATCCTATACCTTAAAGTCCCCAAAACTCTACCCAAACTCCTAGACACCATAAACAGCTACAGCAAGGTGGCAGGATACAAAATAACTTACAAAAATCATTAGCTTTTCTATACTCCAATAGCAAACAAACTGAGAAAGAATATATGGGAAAAATTCCATTTACAATAGCCTTAAAAAAATCAAATACCTAGGAGTAAAGTTAACAAAGGATGTGAATGATCTCTACAAAGAGAATTACAAACCCCTGAAGAAAGAGATTGAGGAAGACTACAGAAGATGGAAAGATCTCCTGTGCTAATGGATCTGTAGAATCAACATAGTAAAAATGGCTATACTACTAAAATCAATCTCCATGTTTAATGCAATTTCCATCAAAATCCCAATGATATTCACCACAGAGATTGAAAAATCTACCCTAAAATTCATTTGGAAACACAAGAGGCCGCAAATAGCCAAGGCAATACTCAGCAAAAAGAGCAATGCTGGAGGTATCACATTACCTGACTTCAAACTATATTACAAAGCAATAGCAATAAAAACAGCATGGTACTGGCACAAAAACAGACATGAAGACCAGTGGAACAGAACAGAGGACCCAGATATGAATTCACACAGTTACGCCCACCTTATTTTTGACAAAGGCACCAAAAGTATATGATGGAGAAAAGACAGTTTCTTCAACAAATGTTGCTGGGAAAAGTGGCTGTCCTTCTACAAAAAACTGAAACTAGATCCATGTTTATTACCCTGTACAACTTGATCCAACTCAAAATGGATCAAGGACTTTAATATCAGACCCAAAACTCTAAAGTTAGTACAGAAAAGAGCAGGAAACACTCTAGAAGTAATAGGTATAGGCAAGGACTTCCTCAATAGAACCCCAGCAGCTCAGCAACTAAGAGAAAGGAAGAACAAATGGGACTACATAAAATTAAAAAGCTTCTGCTCAACAAAAGAAACAGTCTCTAAACTGAAGAGACCACCCACAGAGTGGGAGAAAATATTTGCCAGCTATACATCAAAGGACTGATAACCAGAATATACAGGGAACTTAAAAAACTAAACTCGCCCAAAATTATGAACCAATAAAGAAAAGGGCAACTGAACTAAACAGAACTTTTCAAAAGAAGAATTTCAAATGGCCAAAAAACACAGGGGTTTAAGCAATGAAGAGAAATCAACTCACAAACTTCAATGTATTGCCTGACTTGGAATGCATGGATCTGTTATCACATTGCACAATGATGACTTTTTGCTGTTTCTGTCTGAGATGATTCAGCACCTTCTACTTTCTGAATGGATCTCATTTATGCAAACTGGCATCAGTTGAGTTGATTTATTTTCTAGAAAGTGTGTAGAGCACTTTCTAAGATATGTGTTTTCCAAATCCAGTGGATTCCTTGTTATTTCCACTACCACTCTTGGATGCATGGGAATAATTTTGTTATCCTCTATTTTTTCAAAGGTAAATATTTTTATCTAGGTTCCCCATTTTATGCTAAATCATTAATACAGATCACAAATTGTATTTGTTCACAAACTGCATTTATTCATAAACATCTAGAAAAATAATCAAAAGTTTTTATATCTCTCTTTGTAGATGTTGTTGATAAGTTCTACTTGGACTAGAAAACTTGTACCATGACAATTGTAACAGCATGACTAAAGATTCTGGTACATTATCTTGACTCTTAAAAGCCAAGTATGAAGTATAGTCAACTGGCATGTGAGGAGTCAGTGGGAAGAATGTTTCTACCTCTACAGCTGTCCCAGACACTTATGGGGAGGTCAAAACTCAGCTGTTGTAGAAGCAGAAAGACAGCAAGGTTCAGGTTTTCTAGTAGATCAAGGAAGCACCACTCATGGCACCTTCAGAGGTTTTGGTACTGGTGGGAAGGATGCCTGCAAAATAGTTGACATCACTGTCTCAGTCCATCTTAAGTGCCATGATGCTTTGCTCCTATATAATTTTAGAAGTAAAATCAGCTGCCCAGTCAGTTCAGCTTGAAAGCACCAATTTCTACTGTTATCAAATATCATCAAAAACTCCTGAAGTTCAGAAAGATATTCTCTTCTTTTGTCAATATGAAGAAGCTTCAGAAAATCATACAAGTGTTTAAGGACATCTATCCTGACTTCATCAACATCTTTTAAAAACCCATTAAAAATTGGTACCATATCTGCAGCTGTCAACTCCTCTGCAAGAATAAGTGCAAGCATATGGATGGAGAATGCCAAATGTCTCCGAACTTCATACTGCATGTCTAAGGCCAGAATCTTGTATGTCTCTCTCAGGCAGTGCCAATTCCTCTTGCCAAGTGTCAGGGCCACACCTGGCAGGCTGTATGCACAATGCTTAGCAATTTCAGTGTCAACTGTCTCTGCAAGAGGTGGATTGGTCATTGCCAAGTGCTGATCCAATAAAACCTGGGGTACAACATCTTGCACCTTAGGCCTCCTTTCCTCCTTGGGGCTGAAGCCACTAGTGCTACTCACATAGTGAGCAGTGGCATCTATATTCTCATCAGCAATGCTGATTAAAGGCACAGAAGCAACTTGGTTTATGTTCCAATTTGGTTTCTTACCTATACCCAGCTCTTCTTGCACCTCAAGTCTCTGCTCTCTACTGAAGGTCTCCCCATGAGCACCCAGTTTGAAAGCATGCAGCACACCTAACAGCACTTCCACCTGTGCTTTAACATCTGGATCATCAATAAGGGGCTCTAGATTTTCTATCATTTTTTCCAGTTTGCTCCTGGTGGCCATGTTGATGTTTGGAGAACCTGGCACAGGTACATTGTGTGCTTCTCCTGGTCTCTGTGGGATGACTCTTCCCAGAGTCCTGTTCAAGATCTATATCTAGATCAATTTCAGGAAGAAAAGTTCTCCAGAAATCGAATGAATTGTATAATTCCTGATATAAGTGAGTGTAATCTTCTGAACTTGTTCCAGCCTCTGGTTGGAATACTGATTGGCAGTTACCAGGTTTTTTACCATTCTCCTTGCTAGCTGCTTCTTGATGAGATTCTGAAGGCAAAATACAGAGTAAATTATCCCCTAGAATGTTTATTTCACTTGAAGAGTTCCTGGATGTTTCAGCAGCACTATCTTCCAGTGTGTTTCCCAGTTTGACACTGGAATTAGTGATATTGATATCCAAAGGAACATCCTCTGGCCTGATCTGCCCATCCTGAAGGGAGTCTTGGTCTCTGATCCTACTTTTATCTTCTGATATATTTTCTGAACTGTTGTTTTCTTCTTTAAAATATTGACCTGAGCTAGATGGATTAGAAAAAGTACATATGAAAGGTCCCAGAGACTGAAAAGCTGCTTGGCAAACCCAAAATCAGGGATCCCTGACCAAGTTAATAAATAATGTTGATAGCTTGGTCCATTTGGATTTCTTCACTGGTTGCATATGAAACTGCCATGAAGCACTTGGCACAAGCCTTCCAGACTACACATACATTATCAGAACACAGCTTGGAAAACCTGGGCAGCAACACTTCCTCAGTGGCTTGCTGGCCAACTACACTGCAAATATCTCCAAAATTGGCAGCACAGACCTTTCGAACATGAAATGCTCTACAATCACAGCACATCTCAAAAAACCTAGGGAGGATAAGATGTTCTGTTATATCCTTCCCAACCATGGGAGGCATCTTGCACATGAAAGGCACAGCTGTGCTTTCACATATTTATCACTGTTTGGGACAGTCATCTCAATATTTGGAAGCTTTCTAGGGAATAGGACACATAGCCCAAGAAAATAATGTTTTCAGGATTTTACTATGAGTATTTCACAAAAATCTTTAGGACATGAGCACATTTTGCTTCCCTAGGAGAGTAAAAATTTTAAAATTATATATAACAAAAAGCAATTTTCCCATCATATTTCTTCAGTATCATCAGTCTCTGAGATAAGGTTCTACCATTTTTAAGGGGAGAAGGGTGGTGGTAAGGAATATTTAAAAGAAAAAAATTTCATTAATTTCAAAGATAGTTGAACCATGCTTTGAATAAATGTCCTTAAGAACATGCCCCCATTCTACATGGCTTTATGCTTCAAATAATTCAAAAGGTGAGAAAGATGAAAGCACACACCATCTGAAATCATGGATAATGGAAGTTCCTCCATACAATATTTACAAATGTTGGCTTGCTGTGCATGTAAATACATAGGTTTATTTGTGTTCAATCTTAATATTTGATTTTATTATCTATAAAATTGTCCAAATTGCTCTGTATTTTGCTTCAATGGCAAAATTTATATTAAGAATGCTGTGCTCTTTGATACAAAGCTGTATGTGCTATAATTCAATGAAGAAAGTTACTGAGGAAAGGAAAAAATCAACCCTAGTACTTTCTAAAATATATTTTGAGATTTATTGGACCTTTTGTGATGTTTTATTTCATGTTGTATATGTGACAAGAGATAGTATATGTTGTTCCCATGAAAATATGAAGTGATGAACAAATTAAATGTATGAAAATCAATCTTTCTTATTTGGGATAACAGTCTACCTATGCTCAAATTAGGGTTATTAATAATTACAAATATAAATTTTAAACTTATGTTTATAAAAAGGTGATAAGAACAATAATTTTAATAGAAGCTCACTTTTCATAAAAAAATCCTAATTTAAGGGTAATTTCTGTCAGAGACAGAATAACAGAGGGGGAATACTGGAAGGGCAGGGAAAAATTGCAAGAAGCAAGATTACAAACTATTCAGACCAATTCAAGTCTAGACTTAAGTCTAGACTTAAGTCTGAAGTAGATATAGAAAGTAAGCATACAATGGGATAGAGTAACAAGTGAATTAAGGTTACAACACTGAGGTCAATTAAGACCATAAATGCCATTTAATACTATAACAATTCAAGAACCCCCATTAGAATCATGTCTAAGTCATGCAGTCACTTGATCTCTTCCTGCTCTGGTCATAAAATCCCAGGGAAAATCATCAGTGAGGAAAACATGAGAACCCAGCCTTCAAAAAAACCTGTTTCTAATGAGACACACAGGTAGTTGCACATATAACTATCTAATGTGTTCTGGGCAAAAAGAGAAATTTGTAACTACTTCCCTAGAGGAATGAAAATATCCTCCTAGAAGGGAGTTCAACCTTTTTTAGATTTTAGAGTTGATTCTTTGTCTGATTCCAGGTGAATATTGGGGTTTTGCCTATAACATATATTCCCAATGCATGGAGAATAACTGTGTCATGATTTTCTTGACAGGACTATAGGTGTGATCTGAGAGGGGACATTTGGAGGAATGCTCCACTGCTTACCTTTGGATGAAGGTCCTGGCATCTTATTGAAACGGTCTTGCTCATGAAGTGACACCTGCTCCTCCTGGATGAGATTATGGAGGGTGGGTGAAGATGTAGACTCCATTGAGTCCTGTGAAACAGTGATGTCCAGGTGGATCACTTCATTTACTTTTGGACTATCTTCACCTATGTGGAGAAAAATTTAAATATAGATTCAGGCTGATGGTGAGGGGTGTGGTCAATCCTCACTTACTGTGACTGTGTGCACACACTGGTATGAGTATGGTTCTCCTGGAGATTCTGGAAGGAAAATGCCTCTGTCCCAGTGTGAGCATCATGGGCACTCCCAGTGTAGGACTTGCCAAAAACAGATGGAAAAAATCAGGGATTCCATAAGTAAGGATTAAAAATCTTAAACATTTTATAGTTCAGCTTGGAAGGCAAACATCTATTAGTATATTGGATAAAGATGACTTTTACTAAGTTCCCATTGGAGACTATCTGGGGCCATCTAGTGTTCACCCAGGTCTCATGGATATCCATTATATCCATTTGCATCAGTGGAGATAATCACTTGGATAATTCATGTGCAGATCCCTTTCTAAGACTTCTTCAACTCCATTGGTTTTGTTATAAACTCCCTTATTATCCTTGGATACATTGGAATAATACTGCTGACCTTTATTTTGAGATAAAAGAAATCTGTTTGAAGGTGCAATACTCCATTTTACTGAGACACATCATTTACCTCTGGATTATGTGATGGATACTGCTTATTTTGGAAGCTTTCTAAAACAAAGCACACATATCCCATAGCCCTAACACTGTAAGGATTTTAGATGAGCTTTTTCTGCTAAATCTTTAGGTCATGAATCACTTTTGTCTCTCATAGAGAATACATTAAAAATATATAACAAAAATGATCTTCCCTTCATATTTCTTCAGTATTATTTCTTCCCTGAGACAAAGCCCTACCATTCTGAAGGTGAGAAGGGTGGAGGCATGCAGAGTTTGAAAAGAAAAATCTGCCAATATTTCAAGATAGTTTGTACCACACTTAGAGTAAATTACCTTTAGGCAAGGTGCCCATTTTATATGAATTTGCACTCTAAACAATTCTAAAGGTGAAGAGAGAAGAAGGTATTCTTAAAACCTTCAGGATGTTCCTCTGTCAATATGTGCAAATGTTGGCTTACTGTGCATGTAAATATGAAGGCTGATTTGCATAAAATCTTATTTATCCAATTTTACTATGTGTAAAATTGTGCCAGTTATTTTATACTTTTCTTTAATGTAAAAATTAATACTAAAAATTCTGTTACCCTTGATACAACCTGTATGTACATTAATTCAATGAGAATTGTTACTGAGGAAAGACAATATTGAGTTTGATACCTCCTAAAATATACCTTGAGATGTACCTAGATCTTTTTTATTTGTCTTTCTCCATGTGAGAATCCATGTTGTCTAAGTGACCAGTGATAGTGAGTGTTTTTGCAGTGAAATTATGAGGTGATAAAACAAGCTAAATTTATGGAAACCCAGTCTTTCTTACACAGTCCTGGAACAATTTGATTTCACAGGTCTCCACACTCAAATTTGGGTTATTGATAATTAAATCCATAAATTTTAAACTTAAGTTTATGGAAAAACAATGATAACAATCCTCTAATTAGAAACTCAATTCTAGTCCAAAAACTTCCCAAGTTAATAGTAAATATCTGTCAGAGAAAGAATTCCAGAGGTAAAATTCTGGAATGAAAGGGGAAAAGAAAGACAAGAAGGAGTATTACAAAGTCCCTGACTGTGAACTTGCAGTACAGTTTAAGTCTAGACCTTGTTTGAAGGAGATATAAAAGGAAAGTTTACCATGGGGAAAATACGTAATGATTACAGATTAGAACCCCAAGGTCACTTCTCTCTGAGAATAGATTCCATTTCATACCATAATTATTTATTCAAGAATCTCCATTTTAACTTTGTCTAAGTCATGTATTCATTTGATCCTTTCTTTCTCTGTCACCAGATTCCCAGGGAAACCCTCAGTGTGGAAGACTTGAAAGCCCAGAACTTCAGAAACCCTACCCTAATGAGACACATAGGTAAGTGCATACTTATCTATGTATCTAATATGATCTTGGCACAAAGAGAAGTGAGCAATTATTTCCCTAGGGGAACAAAAAAATCCTCCTAGGAGTTTAATGTTCTTTAGACTTTAGGGTTGATTCTTAGTCTGATTCCAGGTGAGTATTGGATTATGCCTATACCACATTTTCCCAGTGCATAAAGAAAAACTATATCACAATTTTCTTGGCAGGATTATATGTGTGATCTGAGAAGGTTCATTGGGAGGAATGCTCCATTGCTTACCTTTGGATGAAGGTCCTGGTGTCTTATTGAAATAGTCTTGCTCATGAAGTGACACCTGCTCCTCCATTAAGTCCTGTGAAATAGTGATGTCCAGGTGGATCATTTCATTTAGTTTTGGATTTTGTTCATCTATTGAGGAAAAATTTAAATATAGATTCAGGCTGATGGTGATAGGTGTGATCAATCCTAACTTACTGTGACTGTGTACACACACTGATGTCAGCATGTGTCACAGATTCTGGAAGGAAAATGTTCATGTCCCATTTTGAGTGCCATGAAAACTTCCTTTGTAGGATTTGCCAAAAACAGATGGAAAAAAATCAGGGATTCAACAAATAAGAAGAAAGAAATCTTAGCTATTCATTGCCCCACTTGGAATGCAAAGATCTGTCAGTGCATTGGACAATGATAACATTCTGAAGGCATGAAGGGTGGAGGCAAGCAGATTTTACTAATTTAAACATAGTTCCTCCCCCTCTTTTCATACATATCCATTAGGCAAAGTGCTCTTTCTTAATGGATTTATAATTTATATGCTAACCATCTCCAAAGTTGAGAAAAAAAGTAGACATAATTATAATTAAATCCATAAATTTTAAACTTAAGTTTATGGAAAAAATGATAACAATCCTTTAATTAGAAACTCAATTCTACTCTTAAAATCTTGAGAATGTTCCTCTGTCAATATGTGCAAGTGTTGTCTTATGTACATCTGATATGCAGGCTGAATTGTATACAATCCAGGTTATCTGATTTTGTTATGTGTAAAATCCAACAATTATTCTCTACTTTTTCCTATATAAAAATGAAGAATGCTGGTTCCCCTTGACACAACCTGTATGTATTCAAATTTGATGAGGGTTTTGAATGAGGATAGTTAACACCAAGTCTGGTAATTTCTAAATTGTATCTGGAGACTTAGGTAGGAATTTTGTGATGTATGATATTTAATGTGCAAATCCATGTTGTCAATGTGACTAGTGAAAAAGCATGTTTTTGTCATGACAAGATGGGGAGATGATGCCAGCTAAATATAGAGAAACCACCTCTTAAGCTGCCTGGATCAATTTGGTTCACAGTTCCTAACACTCAAACTAGGGTTGTTAAAATTAAATCCATAAATTTTATACTTGTATTTAAAGACTATCAGCCATTAAAACAATACTTTCACTGGAAGCTCACTTCTAGTTTCAACACTTCTAAAGTTAACAGCAAATTTCTGACAGAGAGTGAATTCCAGAGGATTAATCCTGGAATGGGAGGGAAAAAATGGCAAGAAGCAAAGTAACAAAATCCCTGGTAATGAACGTACAGTTCAGGATCAAGCCTAGCTATAGGTTTGAAGTAGATATGGAAAGAAAGTTTACAATGGAGTGCAGTAAGAACTTAATGAAGGTTAGAAGCCCAAGGTCACTTCGGACTGAGAATAGATTCATACCACATCTCTTCAGTCAAGAGCCTCCATTGTAAATGCATCTAAGTCATGCAGTCATTTGATCCATTCCTGCTCTGTCACCAGATTCCCAGGGAATGCCCACAGTTGGGAAGACAGAGGAGACCTGAACTTCAGAATCCTTATCTAATGAGACACACAGTTAGGTGCACACAGAACCAAGCATCTAAAGTACTCTGGGCATACAGAGAAGAGAGCACCTATTTCCCTAGAGGAGTGAAAAAACTTCTTAGAAAGGACTTGGGCATTCTTCAGATTTTAGAGTTGATTCTTAGTCTAATTCTTGGTGAGTGTGGGGATTCAGCCTATAGCACACATTCCTGCTGCATGGAGAATAGCTGTGTCATGATTTTCTTGATAGGAATAGAGATGTGATCAGAGATGGGTAATTGGAAGAAATACTCTGCTGCTTGCCTTTGGATGAATGTCCTGGAATTGTATCAAACCAGTTTTGCTCTTCAAGGGACACATTTTCCTCCTGGCACCACAAAAAAAGATAGGAGAGAAGCCAAGATTTGCAAGACAATTGACAATTTGACCAAATATCTTTAAATACCTGCTCACTTTATTTCTGGGATTTGCTATGAAATAAAAACATGAGGGCAATACTTGTGGGGCTGGATCAGAGATGCCAGTGTGGGTTTCTGTCTCTGCCATTTACATGGAGAAACTATTCGAGACTCTTTTGATTCCTCACTTTAACCTGAAGGATATTATCTATACCTCATTGGACTGATGAACTCCTAGAACAAGGCATGTTTCATAGCACTCTTCATAAAATTAAATTTATCCCTAACTCAAATGGCTTAAGGCAGCCTAGACTGCAATCTTCTTCCTGCAAAGCAAGCTCTACCACATTCTTCATTTCAGTTAGCAGCATCCAGAAGATATGCAGGCCCAATCGTTGCCACTTCTGTACCTGTTGTACATACCTCCACCAATTCAAAACTTAGGAAAGAAGAAAGCACATACATTCTCAAATCCTGGAGGATATTCATGTATATCAACATGTACAACATTTGATGACTGAATGTAAATACACAGATTGAATTTTTATATTCTACCTCATTTCTCTGATGCTATCATTTCTAAAATAGCCTAAACATATTATCTTAGTGTTCATATGAAAAATAATGTAATAATGCCCTGTCCCTTGAAACAAAGCTATACATACAGCTATAGTATGAGGAAATACTGACAGCAAAATAAACTCCATGTCCAGTACTTTCTCAAAAATATCTTCACACTAAGCTAGGACTTTTGTGATGTATGTTATCTGATGGAAGAATTCATATTGTTTCTGTAATGAATGGAAGTGTATGTGATTACTATGAAAGTATGAGTTGATAAAACAACCTAACTTCACAGAAACCCCACCTGTCTTAAACAGTCCAAGAGCAGTTTATGTTAATAAATTCTTCATGCTCAATTCAGGGTATAAAAAATGTAAAAATCATAAACTCTGTGCTTATAGAATAAAAGTGACAACAGTAAAATAAGGAAAAACTCTGCTGTAGCCAAAATATATCCCAAATTAATAACACACTTATATCAGAGAAAAATATATCAGTGTAAAAATTTTGGACTATCTCAGGGAAAAATGGCAAGAAGGATGAAGAAAAAGTTCTCAATTGAGAACTTCAGTCCAATTTTAGATGTATGTCTGATGCACATGTAGAAAGTAAGGTGGACATGGGGTAGATTTAGAACAGAACACAGTTTAGAAATGCAAAGACCCTTCAGACTAGGAAGAGATTCCATTCAATACTATAGCTTGAAATGGATTACTCAAGATAATCCATTTCAAGTGTGTCTAAGTCATGCAATCATGATTGCTCTGGCCCCAGATGGCTGCAATGAGGAATGTAGAAGGTATGAGAGTCCAGGCTTCAAAAGATCATCTTCTAATAAGACACACAGGTGTATACATACATAACTATTTTTCTAAATTTCTCCCTATTTTTCTAAGTTGCTCTCTTACAAATAAGAGAGCAATTATCTCTGTGGAAGAATGAAAAAAAATTGCCTAATAGGGACTTGTATCTTAACTTCAGTCTTCAGAAGTAATCTAAGCCAGATTCTGAGTGAGTTTGGGGTACTTGTCTATACTGCCTCCTTACAGTATATGGAGAATACCTATGTATCATGAGGTTTTTTTTTTTTGGTCAGGAATGGAACTGGGAGAGCCATGAGACATGTGAGATGGCACTTGCAAGAAGGGAAGATATTCATTGTTCCTGTGCTTGTCTTTGGCTGGATGCCTTGGCTCTAGGAAAAGCTGGCCTTTGAGGTCTAGGGAAACCTGCCCAAGGATGGGCTCCTGGAAGTTCTGAGAAGTTAATTTACTTGGATTCTGTGGAATGAATGCCTTCTCCCCTAGGTGGTTCATTTGGATGGCATATGGATAGTCATGCTCTATGTGGAGAAAAATAGAACCATAGATTCAGGGTGCTGCTGATGTGTGTGATCAAGCTCACCTTTTGCTGAATTCATGAGCACTGGTACAAACATAGTTCTCTTATAGTCTGTGGAATTAATAATGCTATGTCTACTGAGTGTGCATTATCCAAAGGAGGTTAAGTAATAAATAGATAAAAACCTTAAATATGTTATTTTGTTTGGAATGAAGAGATCCATCTGTGAATTGTTCAATGATAACTTTTGCTATGTTCCCATCTGAGAATATTCAAGTCCTTCTAGTTTCTGCCTTGACTTCAACCAAATTTTTATATCTTAGGCAAATTACTTGAATCCTCTAGCCTTACATTCTTCATTTTAAACATACATCTTCCCCACTGCAGAGACTTATAAGGATGGAAGAAAATACATTTATGGACATTGGTTTTTAATATTCTTTAATAATTAAAATATATATGTCAAGAATTGCTAAGATTAGTACTTTCTCTTCTGTGATGTCACCTTGACCAAAAGAGATATGGCTTCCCTTTGTCACTTCTCATTTTAGGGCTGCTCACAAGCAGTAGACTGGCTTTCATCATAATTCCCTCACACTGCTGTTGTCCCAATGGTTCCTCACAGACATTGAGCAGAAGGAAGGTTGCAGTGTATTGGAGAATAGAAACAATGGGCAAACCCCTGCAAGCCAGGAAATCACACTCACAGTCATCAGGAGCTACATGGAAAGTGACTTATTTTGTTCTTTCATTCTTTACATTACTTTCTTTATAAAGAATTATCAAAGATACTGTACTTTGAAGTGAAATACATTATCTAGGAAGGGCATAAAAATGCTCTTGTATCCATTTCTAATTTTTCACTGATGTAACATGGTGAGCTCTTGCTTTTCCTTTCCATCTGGCACAGGTACATTTTTAGTGGTATATTCAGAGCAAGAAATCAGCAACTTTCAACTTTTAGAGTAAAACAAGCTCTTCTGGCACCAATTTAATGAAACCAAGGTTCAGGATAATCAGAAGTTGATTAACACTTGAAAACTGAGTGTACACTAAAATAAAGGATTCAGAAAGGCTGACATGGGATCCTCAAGACTATTGTGCTCTTAGAGTGCTTAGAGCCAGCTATGTTCAAAGGTGTTCTGAGCCTTAGTTATCATTGAGATATTTTATCAAATTAATAAATTTCATTAAAATATATGGTCCTAAATTTTTCAACTGGATGTGCATGTGTGTGTGTGTGTGTGTGTGTGTGTTGCTGA